AAAAAAAAAAAAAGGCAGACACGACCCCAGCCACTGCAGCAAAGCTGTAACACAGGAACCCTGCAAGGCTGGGAGCCACATGGCTGACCGTGTGTTCAGAACCCCAGGGACCTCAGAACACACCAGACATGTGCACCCAGGATCCGAGGAGCTGGAAAGGGGTCCTGGCATGAGGAGACCCTGTCAACGGTCTTTCTCTCCTCTCTCCCTTCTTTTCTCTCCCCCCTCCCCCACCATGTCCTGCTCTCTCTCTAGCACGTGTTCTGTCATTAAACAGAAACAAAGCCCAGCAGACTTAATCAGTTTGGATCCCTCACACAAAAATAAGCTGCTGAGCGGGCCACTGAATGAGCGCTTGCTGAGAGATTAGGACAGCTTGCCAGGAAAGTGCACGAAGGGAACTTACGCCAAAGTAACCGTTCTTGTCCTTTTTTAATTACCAGAGGGCACATGCACTCACAGAGAAAGACAGAGAGACAGAGAGAAGGGGAGGGAGAAAGCGGCCCTGCTCTCATGTTGTGTCACCCTGCAATCACTCTTCCTCCATTTCTCCTTCCCGTCGGGACATGGGGCACGCACACACATGCACCCCGTGTATATTTCAAGTCACCAGAACTGGGACTCAGAACTTGCCAGCAGCCAAGTGGGATCCAACTCCCTTAAACACCAGGGCACAGGATCGGTCCCCAGGTAACCTCCCAAAGGGTCTATCTCCTAGTACTCCCTTCACCCAAGTCTGGCTTTAAGTCCTAGTCCTGCCTATCTCCTATCAGTCCAACCCATCGTCTGCAGCTTCTCACTATGAAAGTGCTCACGTGGGGACCAGCAGATGGAGTAATGGCTGCCTCACTGGACTCCCACATAGCTGACCACGGTTCAAGTCCTAGACCTGGCAGCTTAAAACTCATGCTGGGCTTGTGTGCATGTGTGCCCAAGATCCCAATAGGAAAGTGAAGGATGGCCATGAATCCCCTGGGGGTTGAATTCTCACTCTCTGTCTCTGTCTCTCTGACGAGCACACGCACCCTACAGCAAAAATCTCTCTTATAAAAAGAAGCATGTGCACGCATAAGCTGAAAGGAATGCTGTCACTACCGCCATAGCCACCCAGAATCTACAGCTTTAATGGCCCTACTTGTCACCCACTTCAGATAAGCATGCACGTAGTTGTGTGGGTACACACGTGTGAGTATGTGTGTGTGCTCGAATGCAGAACTCCTTGTAACATGACATACCCAATTCATACTCACATCCTCAGTTCCTCGCAAACACATTCCTCGTCTGCAACCGTTTTATAAACCGGGGCCAATCCAGGTTCGTGCACCATTTCGACTTCTGACCTTAGTCCCCACCATTCCTGAGCCTCCAGCCGCCCCTCCGCCCGGCATCTGCACCCTGCCCCTGCGTCCTTCCTATGCACCAAGGCCTCCTCGGCTTCACCCAGGCCGTCCTGTCCCCAGCATGCACTGTGTGCTCTCCGAGGCACAGTCTCCTCCAGGAGGGCAGGGCCCTGCCATGCCCGCCACTTCCCCCAGGGCTGACAGCGGTGCTCAGCACACCCAGACACTGCGCAGCCCTTCACTCCACGCAGTGCCGTCACGACACAAAGGAACGAGGAGAGGCTGACTTCCTGCTGCTCTGGGGTCGCAGAGTGCCCGTCCGTAAGCCCACCCCATACCAGTGCACTCCCTGGTTCCATGGACTCCTGATTAGTGTTTCTTGCAATGGTGCTCTCTGAATTACATGGTGAATTCCTTGAAGACAGGGCCCCTGTCATACAGTCCTCCTAAAACTAGCCTGGACTCATGAATGACAGAAAGACGTGGCTGTATCCAGATGAGCTGCTCTTAGCTGGCTTGCCCTTTCATTTTTTTTTTTTTTGAAAGGTTTTTGCTATAGGGTGTGTGTACTCGCCAGAAAGACAGAGAGGGACAGAGAGCGAGAAATCACTCCCCCGGGGGGGGATGGCTACGCCACAATCCCTTCTCCATTCTCCTCTCGGGATCTATCTTGGGCACGCACGTACGCCTAGCATGAGTTTAAGCCATCGGGTCCAGGACTCGAACCGTGATCAACTACATGGGAGTCCGGGGACATAGCCATTATGCCATCCACTGGTCCCCCATCCTGGCAATTTCAAAAGGAGTTTTAAAATATAGTGTCACAAAAGAGAATAACGAAAAGGTCAGAGTCACAGGCTAAAATGGAGAGAGTGACTTAGAAGCATGCTAGAGTCTGGAATACGTCTGCAAGCCCGTGACTGGCAGGGGCGTCTCACCCGGATTTCCGGACAGCTCCTCTTCATTACCACTGTTGTAGCTCACAAACTTCACTGTGAATCTCTGTGCCATTATTCCTAGAAAGAAAATGTAACACACGCCATTTCAGTAGGGACAG